TTAATTACAGATTAACAGAGTTGGAAGGGACCTTGTAGAACTTCTAGTCCAACCACCCAAGCAGGAGACCCTACGCCATTTCTGACAAATGGTAGTCCAATCTCTTCTTGAAAGACTCAGGTGATGAAGCTCCCACAACTTCCAAGGGCAAGCTATTCCATTGGTTGATGGTTCTCACTGTCAGAAAGTTTCTCATTTCCAGGTTAAATCTCTCTTTCTGCACTTTCCATCCATTATTCCTTGTCTGGCCTACAGGTGCTTTGGAAAATAGTTTGACCCCCTCCTCTCTGTGGCAGAGGATATTGAAATATTGAAACACTGCTATCATGTCTGCCCTGGTCCTTCTCTTCACCGGACTAGCCATGCCCAGTTCCTGTAACTGTTTTTCATATTATTGAGTCTATCATCTGCACCTTTATAACTGTCTGGTTGGTTCTGCAACCCAACAAGACAGACACAGACTTCAGAGAATAATTAGGACTGCAGAAAAAACAATTACTACCAACCTGCCTTCAATCGAGGACCTGTATACTGCATGAGTCAAAAAGAGGGCTGTGAAAATATTTACAGACCCCTCACATCCCAGACATAAACTGTTTCTACTCCTGCCCTCAAAATGATGCTATAGAGCACTGCACACCAAAACAACTAGACACAAGGACAGTTTTTTTTCCGAATGCCATCACTCTGCTAAACAAATAATTCCCTCAACACTGTCCAACTATTTATAAAGTCTGCACTACTAGTACTATAATCTTCTCATCACTCCTTATCACCCATCCTCTCCCACTTGTGACTGTATGACTGTAACTTTGTCGCTTGTATCCTTACGATTTATATTGACTGTTTCCTAGTATGATTTGATTGCTTATTGTACCCTATGACTATTATTAAGTGTTGTACCCTATGATTCTTGACTCTTGATGAATGTATCTTTTCTTTTATGTACACTGAAAGCATTTGCAGCAAGACAAATTACTTGTGTGTCCAATCACACTTGGCCAATAAAGAATTCTTATTTTATTCTATTCTGTATCTTTTAGTCTCCAGTCACCATATAATCCTAGTTGCTCTTCTCTGTACTTTTTCTAGAGTCTCAGCATCTTTTTTATAGTGTGGTGATCAAAACTGGATGCAGTATTCTAGGTGTGATCTTACTAAGGCTTTATAGAGTGGGATTAGTACCCCACTTGATCTTGATTGTATCTCTCTGTTAATGCAATGTAGGATTGCGTTGGCTTTTTTGGCTGCTACCACACATATTTATGAGTTGGCTCATATTTAATTGGCTATTAACTGAGACTCCAAGATCCCCCTCAGAGTTACTGTTATTAAGCCTGGTTTCACCCAGTTTATATGTATACTTTTGGTTTTTCTTGTCTAAGTGTAGGACTTTACTTTTCTCTTAATTGAATTTCATTTTGTTGGATAGGGCCCAGTATTCAAGTCTACCAAGATCCATCTGGATATTGAGCAGGGATGGGATCCGACCAGTATAACTACCAGTTCTGTTGCTTTGCATCGGGCACACATGCACAAGTTGCGCGAGTCGCGCAAGTGCAATTTACGACCTGCTGAGCTGCCCGGACAGCTGAGCAGCACTGCGTGCAAGTGCCCAGCGATTGGAAAAGCCCTTTTTTCCTGCTTTTTCAACCACAGCTGTGCCACGCAAAGCAGCTGCGGTTGAAAAAGCAGGAAATAAAGGACAGGTAAGAGCCCGGGTGGGCGGGTGGGCCAAAACAACAGCAGACACAGAACCGGTTCTGTGTCTGCTGCTCTTCAGAGATATCGGGTCTGTAGAACCAGACGGAACCGGTAGAATCCCACCCCTGATCTTGAGCCTATCTTCTTGGGTGTTAGCTATTCCTGCCAGCTTAGTATCATCTGCAAATTTGGTACGTTTCAATTCTATTCCCTCATCTAAGTCGTTTATGAAGATATTGAAGAGTACTGGGCTTTGTGGCACCCCACTACTTATACTTCCCTCCATGTAGACTTAGACCCATTAAGGACTTCTTGTTGAGTACGGTTTGTCAGCCAGTTGCGAATCCATCTGGTGGTGATGCTATCTATCCCATTTTTTTCTAACTTACCAAGAAGTAGGTAATGGTCTACTTTGTCAAATGCCTTGCTGAAGTCGAAGTATATTATGTCCATAGTATTTCGTTGGTCTATTAATTTAGTCACTATGTTGAAGAATGAAATAAGATTGGTTTTGGCATGATCTGTTCTTAATGAATATCTATATATATCTACCTTCATGTATTCATAGTTCAAGTTCACCCTGTTTGTTCCCCAGACTTTGTGCATTTGTATATAGGCACTTGAGATCTTTATATATGATGCTGTGTTTACTGTCTACATAATCTGTGTTGTGCCTGCCTGCCCCTACTTTCTTGCCACCTGTTTGATTAATGCACATGGTATGGCACTCACTATTAAATGCTTGGTTTTGGTTGACAGCAAGGTTGATAATCTTACCTGCACAAATATCTATTTTGCATGCAATGGTATCCTTAGATGACCTCTGAGGTCCCTTCCAGCCCTGGATTGCTGTGCTGTTTCAAATCACCCTCTGAAGCTGTGTCTAGTGCCAGGGTTTCTGGTCCTTCCTTCCTCTCCTTTTTCTCTCCCTCCCTCCCTCTATCCATCCATCCATCCACCCACCCACCCATCCATCCATCCATATCTCATTCACTTTCCCTTCCCTCTTTCTCTCCCCCTTCCCTTCCCTCCCTTTTGTTTTTTCTCCCTTCCCTCCCTCCTTCTTTCTTTCTTTCTTTTTTCTTTCTCCCTTCCCTCCCTCTTTCTTTCTTCCTTTCTTTCTTCCCTTTTTTTCTCTTTCTTTCTCCCCTCCCCCTCTTTCTTTCCTTCTTTCTCCCTTCCTTCCCTTTCTTTCTCCCTTCCCCCTCCCTCCCTCTTTCCCTCCCTTTCTCTCTCTCTCTCTCTTTCTTTCTTTCTTTCTTTCTTTCTTTCTTTCTTTCTTTCTTTCTTTCTTTCTTTCTTTCTTTCTTTCTTTCTTTCTTTCTTTTTCTTTCTTTCTTTCTCCCTTCCTTTCCCTTCCTTTTCCTTCCCTCCCTTTCTTTCTTTTTTCTTTCTCTTTCTTTCTCCCTTCCCTCCCTTTCTTTCTTCCATCCCTCCTTCTTTCTTTCTCTTTCTTTCTTTCACTGCACACCCCCATGCCCCATTTTGGGCCTAGTAAGCCTCCCTGCAGCCTCCTGGCAGCAAAAATGGGGTGCAGAGGGTCCCATGGCATGGTTCCCTTGCACCCTATTTTTGCTCCCAAGAGGCTGCAGGGAGGTCTACTAGGCCCAAAACAGGGCACAGGGGGGTCGTGCCGCAACCCACTCCCGCACCCCATTTTTACTCCCAGAAGGCTGCAGGGAAGCCTTCTAGACCCAAAACCAGGCGCATGGAGACCACATCACACCCCCACAACCTGTTTTGGGCCTAAGAGGCCTCCCTGCACTTACCTGGGAGTCAGAGCCAGGCATATGAGGACTCCTGGGAGGGGCAGGATGGGGTGGGGCCAGCTGGTCCTCAGAACTATCTGGTCGCCAAACTGGATGTAAAGTTAACATCCAGTTCACCTGAACTGACCCAAACCGGCTGAATCCCACCCCTGCTCTCACCCAAGTTTCCTGTGGTTTCAACTCCCTATATCACTTCTTCTCTGTTTGTAAGAATTAAGTCCAGTATGGCTGTCCCTCTAGTTCCCTCCTCTATCTTTTGGACAGCAAAGTTGTCAGCTAGATTGGTTAGGAACCTATTTGATTTCTCACTTGATGCAGAATTAGTTTTCCAATTGATATCAGGATAATTGAAGTCCCCCATTACTATTGTAATGTTTCCTACATATATTACTTAGTTAGTTGACAAAAAGGACATCTATTTTTTCTGCTTGATTGGGTGGCCTAAAGTATACACCTATGGCCATGTCATTCATATCTATAATCTATAATTGATAGATAGATAGATATAGATAGGTGTGTGTGTGTGTGTGTGTGTGTGTGTGTGTGTGAGAGAGAGAGAGAGAGAGAGAGAGAGAGAGAGAGAGAGAGAGAGAAAGAGACCTGTAGCAATTTATAACATACAGTGCAACTCCACCTCCTTTTTTATGGGATCTCGGTTTTTTGAACAGTTTACATCTTTCTATCAGTATCACACCAAGTTTCTGTTATTCCAACTATATCATATCTACCTTCATGTATTAATAGTTCAAGTTCACCCTGTTTGTTCCCTCAGACTTTGTGCATTTATATATAGGCATTTGAGATCTTTATGTCTGACTCTGGGTATGCTACCTATGTCTCCTATTTGGTGTTTGAGTTTGTCTTCCTTCCCATCCCTCCTTACCTCATTAGTTGACTTGCTTTCTAAAGGTTTTTGCTTGGAATTGGATCCTGAAGATCCTAAAGATTCATCACCCTCCACCCTCAATTTTAGTTTAAAGCCCTCTTGATAAGTTGAGCCAGCTGAAAACATTCTTCCCAGTCTTTATGAGGTGCAAGCCATCCCTTGCCAGAAGCCCATCATGGAGATAGTACTGACTATGGACCAGGAATCCAAAGGTTTTTTGGTGATACCAACCCTTTAGTCAGTGGTTCACTTCTAGAATTCTTTGTTCTCTTACTGGATGTTGTCCTTTCATTGGCAGTACAGATGAAAAAATTATTTGTTTACCTAAGTCCTTGACTTTCTTGCCTAACTGCTCGCAATCTCTCAATATTGTTTCCAAGTCTTTTTTTTGTGTCATGTGTCCCTAGGTGTAGTAGTAGAAAGGGGTAGTAGTCTGTGGGTTTTATTATGTTGGTTAGCTCCAGGGAGACAACATACCACTCTGGATAGACTGTCTGATCTACAGATGGCAGATTCTGTCACCTTGAGAATTGAATCTCCTATTACCAGCACTCACCTTTTTTTTCCCCTAGGGAGGTTTGGGGTGTTTTTCTGTCTATCACAGAAGCATTTGATGGTGCTACATTTTAAGGACATTTGAGGGTGTTTCTTTACTGTGTGTTTGCATGTTTTCTTCTAGTGAGAGTCCATGAAATTGTTTGCTTAGCACCAGTGGGACTGCATCAGAATTGATTAATTTGGACAGGAGTTTTGTACTAGGTTTGTGGGGGTTTTTTATGAGTGACATGTTTCCATCTGTCTTCTTCCTCTAAAAAGTAAGTTCTTTTAGAAGTTGTTTGATCATTATGTTCAATTTGGGCATATTCTTTTTGCAAAGTTTGGGGATTCTCATTTTGTGGGTTGAATTTCAGAGTGGTTAGAGTTTCCTCTAGACCAGGGTGTCAAACTCAAGGCCTGAGGGCTGGAAACAGAGCTTGAGAGGGCCACAGACACCCGTCCCAAGCTCCGTTTTCACTGGCAGAGGGTTGCAGGAGGCCGTGGCAGCCGAAAACGGAATTTGGGAGCCCATTTTCACTGGCAGGGCGCTTGGGCCACCACAGGCATCCCCGACAGGTATAATGTTGAGATGGCCATACCTACCCTGGCCCCCCAAGGTCAAACACCCTGATGCGGCCCTCAATGAAATAGAATTTGACACCCCTGCTCCTTTACTTTTTCTTTTCATAACTTGATTAGTTTACATTTGGTACATATATAGTTTGGGTATTCTATGGGCATAAATGTATACATGGAACATGTTCTGCAGATCACAATAGTATCAGTTTCTTCTTCCATGAGTGGATTTTAAAAAATTGAAAGTGGAAGTGTAGAAGGTTTTACCACAGATTTTTAACAGGGAAAAATGTCCTATTTGGAATATAAATATTCTAACAGATCATTTAAGTTTGGGTGGAAAAATGTAACTAAAGGTTTAAGGTTCTAGCAGTTAAAGAATGTCTAGTTTAAGGATTTAAAGTTCTATAGTTCAAAATTGTCTAGTTTAACATTTTTAAGTTCTTCAGATCATTTAGAATGTCCAATTTTAAAATTTTCAGTGTTGGGTGAGCTTAAGTGCAAGGTTTGTTCTTAGGCTGTACTGGAATGTTCTATGATTGTCCCTTTCCTCCCTTCCTTCTTATGATCCTTTCCCTCCCTGCCTTTTTGTGGGCTTAATTTATCTCTTTCTTCTCTGCCTTTATATGTTCCTTACTTGCTATTGTCTTCTCACCTTTGATTTTTTAGCCTTTTGTCCTGTGTTGTCTTTTTATCCTCCCTTTGTACTTGCTTTTCCTGCCACTAACTGGGTATTCAGCTCTCCCTGCTTTTCTCAGTTCATGATGTTTTTCCCCTCCCTTGCCTGTTGCTCTCTCACACTGCTTTGTTGCCGTTCTCGGTCACCAGTTTGCTTATCCCCTTTGCTGAAATGTTTCACCAACACTGACAGCCTCTGGTTGCACTGATGTTCTTCCTGTGTACTATGCTTAAGTCCAACCCTAGGCGGTGTAGTTCTAGGTTGTCCAAGCCCAAAATTTCAAGTCTGGTGGTATAGGGCAGGGGTCGCCAACCTTTTGGACCTCAGGGACCACCAAAATCCTAATGTTAGATCCCAGGGACCATTAATCTGTTCCGTGGGTGGGGCCTAATTTGTGGGTGTGGTTTGGTCATGTGACTGGCTGGACATGGCTTGTATGTAAATATTATAAATATTTATATAAATATTGATTTTTTTATAAAAAAGAGCAACTTTTACCCAAAAGCAGGCAAAGCAGGCAGATTGAGTTGCTCACAGAATAACAGATTCATTCAGAGATCTATCTATCTGTCATTGGCTAGCTCAGTCTGTCACATAAAATTTGCTTGCAAGCAAACTCACAAAATTAGCTCACAACACACCATGCATGTAAACATTGAATTTTTTATTTAAGAAAGAGCAACTGTTACCCAAAATCAGGCAACGCAGGCAGATTGAGTTGCTCACAGAATCATTCAGTGATCTATCTGCCATTAGCTAGCTCAGTCTCTCAAATTTGCTTGCCATGAGTCTGCGCTGAATTTGCTTGCAAGCAAACCTTCAGTCCTAAGGGAGGTTTGGCTGTGCTGAGCCGAAGATCTAAAGACAAGCTAGAAAGCAAGAAATCCAACCATTTCCTACTTCCTAGCTAATCTAAATCTCCCAGCACAGCAGAACAGATGGTGGTCGGAAAAAGGAAAAATAGCAATTTAACAGGCAAGTTTGCCGTGTAAGGAGTGAGTGGGCGGGAAGGGTTCAGCTCAGCCTTGTGTTTCTGCACAGCCTGGATTAATTGCTCTGCAGCCCACCAAAATTTTCTCATGGCCCACCAGTGGGCCGTGGTCCACCGGTTGGTGACCTCTGGTGTAGGGTATTCTGTTGTGAGCAGAGGAGTGTAGTACTCTTCTCGTGAAATACTTCTGGACTTGCTCAATTGTATTAATGTCCTATATACAGTGCGGATTCCAGACAGCTGAGCTGTATTAGAGTATTGGTCTAGCAAAGGTTTTGTATGCCCTAGTTAGCAATTCAATATTACCAGAGGAGAAGCTTCATAAGATTAGATTTACAACTCTTAATGCCTTTTTGGCAATGTTGTTACAGTGAGCTCTGGCACTTAGATCATTTGATGTGAGTACTCCAAAGTCCTTGACAGAGTGAGGGTCATCAATGAGGTCATATCTGTCTAGCTTGTATTTGGTGTATTGATTTTTTTACCAATGTGTAGGACGGAGCAGTTGTTGGTCAAAATTTGGAGTTGCCAATTGTTTGACCATTCAGACACATAATCAAGATCTCTTCGAAGGATGGTAGCATTATCGGTGGTGTTGAATAGTTTTATGTCATCAGCAAAGAGAATGCAATTTCTTATAAGGTGATCGCAAGGGTCATTTATGTAGAGTATAAAGAGTGTGGGTCCTAGAACGCTGTCTTGGGGGAATACCACTGTTAACTGGTGCAGGGTTTGATAGGGCGCTCCCTGTTTTTACAATTTGTTGCCTGTTTGACAGGAATGTAGTAATCCACTTATGAAGGGATCCGGAAATGCCATAAGAGTTTAGTTTTAACAGTAATTTGTTGTGTACCACTGAATTAAAGGCTTTGCAGAAGACTATGTAAATTGTGTCTATTGCTTTACCCTGGTCGAGTAGAGTAGTCCATATGTTTTTACAGTGTATGAATTGCAGATTACAGGACAATTTTTTCCTGAAACCAAACTGTTTTTTGGAGAAGGTTTTTAGACTCTAGGTGGAGGGTAATGGATTGGTTAATGATTGATTCCATGACTTTGCATGTGATGCAACACAGTGAGATTGGTCTGTAGTTTTCAACCAGGCTGGGGTCACCTTTTTTGAAGATAGGTATAATCGTAGCTACGGACCATAGGTTCGGTAAGAAACTGGTTCTGAATGATATCTCATATATTATGCTTAGGGTTTCTGCTATGGCAGTAGAGAGCTTTTTTAAGAAGCATGCACATAGTCCATCGGGACCAATAGATAGGGATGGTTTTAGGTTACATAGTGCCTTTTCTACATTATCTTTTATAAAGTCAATATGTAGTAGATCATTGCAGTTAGTTGTGGTACGACTAGGAAATGTGGGGCATGAGCCATTGCTGTTTACAAAGAATTGTAAATTGTTTTTTTTTTTTTTTAAAACAAGTTTTATTAATTTTTAAAACACACAAATTATCATTATTCATTACATGTTTAAACCTTTTTTCATTGTAAATTTAACAAGTCAGATAAATTATGATTCTGTTTTAAACCATTTCCATATAACATACCAAAACCTCTTATTCAATTTCTCTTTACTTCTCTTTACTCTTATTCAATATCATTGTTATTATTTCATCTATTTCTTTCTGACTTAGTTACCATTATTCTCATTCTATATTTCTACAAGTTTTTACTAATTCTCCCCCCCAAAAAAAACATATACACACAACACACAAAACATAAAAAAAAATCTTTTTGGAAAGTAACTTGGACCCAGGTGTCTCTCTCTTCATGGACTTCAATTATATTCATGCTCATCTTACATATCATTACTTATTTTATTTACCATTCTAAGCCTTCTATATTAACTTCTCCACATATTTCACCCTTCTTAATTCTATCTTAATTAATCATCTTAGTTTGAATCATTATATTTGTATCTTTTGTCCATTTTTTATCATCCCTTTGTCTCATTCCTCATAAAAAAAAAGAAAATAAGTTTCTCCTGAAATCATTAATCAGAGTATGATGCCTTTCTATCTCCCCCCTAAGTTAGTCAAATTAATCTTTAAAATAATATCCAATACCCAATCCGATTTTGCTTGGTACATTCTATCTAACTAATACATCCAAAATAATTAAGTACATAATTAGACAATAAATCCAAATATTAAAAAGAGATACTATAATAAAAAATTTATAATAACATCAATACCATAATCTTATTAAACTCTTTAATTAAAACAGTATTCTAAACCTCCCCTATTATTAAATTTTAAAGCCAATCATTTTTAAACATTTTAACATTTTAATCTCTTATCAACTCTTAAACCATTACAATACTACCATCTCATCTTATGTACCTTGCAAAATTTTAAAAAAATTATACTTTATCCATTATCCATAAAAAATTTCTTTTTTCCATTTAATTTCAAAACATTGTAGCTTTTCTCCACCTTTTCCCTTTCTTTCTTCTCCCAACAAACCTTTCTACCCCCCCTTCTTCTAGCCTCTGCCTTACCGGCTTCCCTTCTCTGTCGTATTCCTTTTCCCTTTTGTTTACTATCATCATATTGGTTTTGCACTTTATTTTTCCCTTTCTTAAATGTTTTTTTAGATCTTAAGTCCTTTAGTTTTCTTCTTTTCTCTCTTCTTTCTTGATCAAATTCTGAGATTCATTAAAGATGGCTCCTTCCTTTCTTTCTTGTTCCTCTGCTGTCTTCATCTGTTGTAATGTTTGTTGATAGTTAGTAAGCGCCATTTCTAAAAAAAGGAAAGCTTCTTCCACACCATCTTTACCATTTTTTTTTGCTTGTTCATATTCTTTTCTTAGTTCCTCAACAGAAAGAGCCATTATAAATCTTTTCTTTTCTTTTCCCCTTCTTTCTTCTTACAACAACCAGAATATTCAAAAGAAAATAAAAAAAATAAAACAGTCCCAAAGTTATCAGTCAGTCCAAACCAAGGCAGAGTTCTCACTTTCTCCTTCTGGGGTAATATCAATCAAAGAGAAAGAAAGTCCAAATCTGTTTAAAATCTTATTGCAATATCTTCTAGTCTTCAAATCCTTAAGGCATCTGCTCCAACAAAGTCTTAACATACAAATATTTTCTTTTTAATCCTCTCTCTTCCCACTCATCGCTTAAAACCAATTTTCACCTAAAAAAAATAAGTTTCTTAATATCCAGTTATTTATTCCGTAGGAAAAGAGGGAAAGCTATCCTTTCAGCACCATCAAACAGCCGCTTTTTTCCTCTTCTGGCAGGTATTATTCAGAAAGTCATACTTTTCAGGAATTTTATTAAATATGTCTTAGAGTCCTAGGAGCCAAGAAAAACTTTCTCTTCTCAAGCACTTTCTCCACTTCCTCCTGCGCATTCTTACCCGGCTGCCAGCTTCTTTGTGGCGGCCATTACGGACCGCCGCTGCACCGTCCTGGGAAAAGGGGGTTCTGCCGGCCGGGGAGGGGGTCTGCAACACCCCCACACCCTTCTCCGGATCCCCCCTACCTTCAGCTGCCCCTGCAGGGCAGCCTAGCTCCGTACCCTTCTGGGTCGGAGCCCCAGAAGCGGCTAGCGCGGCAGGGATCGCGCAGCTTCGCAAATCCCTGCCGCTCGCGAAGCCGACAAACCGGAAGTGAGAATTGTAAATTGTTTAGAATTGACTTGAATTATAATTCCTGACCACAAAGGCACCTTAGATTACCTTAGAAATTCATAACCATGCCTACCATGATTATTAACAATTGCATAATCAGCATTT